AGAGCAGTACAGACTCATAATTAAGGATGTATATGAGAAATCCTTTATACAAGTAATGTGCGGACAGCAATTGACAAAACCCATAAAGCTTACAGTTGGAATTAAAACAGGCTGTCCTTGGAGCGCAGTGAATTTTATTCTAGCATTAAACCAATGGCTGAAATGGATCTGCCTCCTCGCCCCGCCCGATGTCATATCTCCGAATCCCGTCCAAGCCTACGCAGATGACGTCGTCTTAGTGTCAAGAGAGGAAAATGTCATTACCAATATGTTGTCAGACACTGACCGCTTTCTGCAGTGGTCTGGACTCGAGGTGAAGAACAGCAAGTGTGCAGTGTTTTATGAACGCCGATCCGGCGGCAACAGGTGGTACAGAGCCAAATATGACCATCCTCCTGTGTTCACAATCTCAGGAAATGCGATCAGAGTTTATGCCAGACATGAGACTTATAGTTACCTTGGACATAAATTTAACGTAGCTGGAGAATGGCAAGAACAACTGAATGAAATCTGCAATGAATATTTTAGCAGACTGGACAAAATAGATCGCTGTCCCCTACCAGCCTGTCTAAAACTTCAAGCAGTTCGTGAGATCGCTCTCTCCAAAATACAACATCTGTTTGCTAACGTACACATCTCAAAGAAAGCTTTAAAGCAAATGAATGATAAGGCTGTGCAGCTGGCGCGAAAATGGCTATGTCTTAATACACACACGACAAGAAGTATTTTATTCACTAATAAAAGAGAGGGCGGACTCGGGTTTCCCAATATCGAGTGGATCTACACAGCTAGTAGGATAAACCATCTATTGCACATGTTGAACAGCGATGACCCGACAGTACAAAGGCTAGCCCGGAGCTCACTCCTTCTGGATCTGGGTAAACGCAAGGTGCCATATGCAGCTGAAGGAGAACCAAGTTTCTTAGGATTCAGAAAGAAACTCAATGGTAGGCTGGATACAGCGTCTGTGGGATTTGGAGTGCGCTCAGACTGGCCGGACCTGAATGACTTGTGCAGCAGCAATAACATACAGCTGAGCTGGAGGAACACGAGCGGACAGCAGGTGAAAGTCAGCGATGAGGCGATCATGGACATTGATAACACATCTGCTGAAGCAACTTTAGATAATGGTGGAGAAAAGAAGGAGCTGAAGGGCAGGACGTGCAGGTATGAGATTCTCCAGCACTTTTACACACAGCAGCGCAGTTACTGGACTCATCTGCGGCTGCAGGGCAAACTGGCCTGCCTGCAGAGCGCGGATCACACAGTCTCACACACTGCGCTACACAACCCCGCTATTGACCACACTATTCTTAAGTTTGTCATTAGAGCTCGTTTACAAACACTTCCTACAAAGTTTAATCTGTCCGTGTGGTACCCGAAAAACCACGAGCCCTTTTGCTTATTACATAGCGATAGAACGGTGGAATCAACAGCGCACATAATGAACGGCTGCCCCGCGTTCAGAGGCATGTACATCACACGTCACGATCGCATTGTGAACATCACAGCTAAAGAGGTGGACAGAGTCAGTGTGCACAGTGCACTATACACTAACAAGACTGTACGAATGAACTGGTTTCCATCACTGAGCAGTAATGCACATGTTCTGAGTGCTGTCATTAGAGATTTTCCAAACACTCCTGATATTGTTGTTGTGAATGAAGTACTGAAAAACATTCTGATTATGGAAGTAGGCTGTTGTTTTGACTCATACATGGATCTGTGCTATTCAGAAAAAATGCTGAAATATCAACCATTAGTGAATGCTCTGAAAGTGTGTGGCTACAACACAAAGTTGGTGGTTTTAATTTACGGTAGCCTTGGGCATGTTCATAAACTGTGTGTGAGAGGACTACAAATTGCCGGACTCAGTAAAAAAAACTCTAAACAAATTGCAAAGTATTGTTCTGTATCTGCAATAATAGGCAGTCTTCATGTGTGGAGAAGACGATGCCATCTCTATCCTTAATCCATTTACTTAATAATGCACGTAGAATGGATTGAGTGTCTAGTGCCACGCAAAAGATCATCAATGGTTGCATGCTGCTTTTATTGTGAAACATTATGGGCTCCTTACGATTATTTGGATGCTGTGTTGTTTTAATAGTATTAGTCATTCCAAATAAAATGAATCAAATGTGTGTGTGTGTGTGTGTGTGTGTGTGTGTGTGTGTGTGTGTGTGTGTGTGTGTACACACTTTTTTATAGATGGACTTTATAAATGTAATTTATAATACGATAGTATTGTAAATAAATCTGTTTATTTCATATACAGTATTTGTGTATCTAAACATAAATATACACAGTAAATATGGAACTACAATTGTTTATTGTAGATGTAATTACATTGTCATTACAATATAATTACTATGTAATTACATTGTAACTACATTGTTATAACATTGTAATTAAACTTATAGCTGTATTGTAAATGTTTAATGTGCAGTATTTGTGTATTTAAACAAATACACACAATAAATATGCATTTAATTTATTTTATGTAGTTGCATTGTCATTACATTGTTTTAATATTTTAGTTACATTGTTAAAACATTGTAATTATTGTACTTGCCATTTTGTTAATTTTTATTTTAGATTTTTTGATTGGGAAAGGTTCAGTCATTAAGGTTCTGAGAGTGGGTTTTCTGTACATAGTATAAAATAGATTTATTAATGCCAATAAAATCACACATTTTTGACTAAATTTAAGCTGTCTGAATTAACACAGCCAAAATGATCAAAACAAAAAGAAAGCCAAAAGAAAACATCTTTTAAGATTGACAGCTGGTGTACTGAATTCTTTGGTGGGGATAGTAATCTTCTATTTACACTTTTGTTAACAATCAAGTGTTTACCAATGTAAAATCTTCAAATATTGTAAAATGTTCAAATTTTGTAAAAGTAAGATAAGAGTTTGATTGAAGGTGTATAAGAACTGAAAGGCTGCAGTGCTTCATGTTTTCTTAGTGAATTTCGGACTCAAAACTGGACAAAAGGTGGATTGGATTACTTGTAGGCAAAAATTGATCGCACTGCAACAGTATGTTGTGTGGCAGAGAGTGGTGGTCCACGCACTGCCCTTACTATTGAGAATATCACCACTGTCATTGACATATTACTAACCCAAGACGACGCACCACACACCCATCGCACTGTCCGACCAAATGCACAGGAGTCTGGCAATTAATGACTCCGATATGTAAACGCTGCTTTATTTCTTGAAAACATATACACATCATATAATTTCATCTGTTTGGCATCTAATAGGCATTTTGAGGAAATTCTGACAGAATTAATTCTGCTTGGACATTTTAATTTGTTTGCATCTTTAACATTCCTGCAAGTCTGTTACCATGGAAAGCTTAGTTTACAAATATGCCAAGTCTTTATCCTGCTGCAGAAGCTTACTCCACAGAAAAACCTTATAGCCCTCAAGCTCTCTGGACATTCTACAATATATGTTTGACAGGAGATTGTGTACAGTACATGCAAACCCTTTTGTTTACAGACTCTCTGTGTGTTCTGTACCTGCAGGTCTGAGTTGCTGGAGTGTTTGCGTGAGACCCGAGCCGAGAAGAGAAGACGACGTAAAGCCATCAGAGAGTTTGAAGAGCAGTTTGTCAGACAGATGGGAAGGTAAAACACACACACACATACACACATCACTGTGGCGTTAACACATTTTAATGCTATTTTTAATGTTACTTTTGTCTTGTTTTGAACATGGACAGGAAGGAAAACAGGAAAATAAAGATCAAAACAGTTCAGCGTAGTTAGCATAATGCACATCTAATGAACGATACACAAAAATAATACCACCAAGAAGAAAAAAAAGTGTTTCTGTACACAATATATGGATTTAGTTTTCAAAATAAAATACATTTCCATTTATCTGCTATCCACTGATGTACAAAACTGCTTCAGTAAGGCAACTCAAGGGTTAAATGTGTGTGTAATCTCGTTTCATGCGGTATATCTTCTTTTTCTTTCTTTCTCTACCAAAGAACCGCTCAAAAAGATGACCGTATCCCTATGGCTGAGGAGTACCAGGAGTACAAAAGTCTCAAAGCCAAATTACGCTTACTGGAAGTGTTGCTCAGCAAACAGGAAACCACATAAGACTTACTAAAGTTAAAGAGATTCTTTCTGCCTTTCAGTGTTGAACCCAGTGTTTGGACCAAATGGAGTTTTTACATTTGACGTAATTGTGCCATAATGATGCTCAAATGCACTTTACTATCATTTCTGACCACATTGGAAGTCCTTGACTCAATGGGTTAGGCCGAACCGAACAAGGCCTTTGGTTGGCTACTTCAGTAAACGCAGCGTGCGATCTCTGTGCTATGTACAGAGCAAGACCCGTTGATGCAAACCTCATTCAGATTATAAAGGGCAAAAGGTAATATAGAGTAGTCATCTATGTTTATGAAATATGGCACTTTATTTTTGGAGGCGATTATTTATTTATTTTTTACCAAAGTCGAATTGTATGCAATTTTCATGTTCTCTTGCTCTTGTTTAATGCTAGTAAAAAATACACTGTTTTGTTTTCAGAAATAATATGTCCAAATTAAGTGGGATTAAAAAATAGCTAAAATTAATCTTCAAAATTAAAAAATTATATTATTTTGCTTGTTTATTTTTTTTCCAGGACAGCAAGTGACATTATTTATAAATCTAAACCTTTCAGTTATATTAAGAACAGATCTTAACAATGCAAATGCGCCATAACAGACAATAACCAACCAGAAACAGAACTAAACTGAGGTAATACACAGCACTTATTAGGTAAATAAACAAGGAAAAGGTGAACACAATAGTTGAGCCTTAGTAGTGGAGAATGAACAGTGCATCTGAAATTGCAAACTTCTCAGCAGGCACAGGACGTCACCATGACGTCAGATTGATGTTGCACCTCAATGTCATGGGGACGTTGCATTTTGTTTGGAAATGAAAATCTGGTTGACGTCAGCTTGATGTTTTGTGGATGTTACCACTATGCTGTTTATTAGGGCTGGGCGATTTGGCCTAAAGTCAAATTCTCGATTAATTGAACATTTTAACTTTGTTATGATTAATGACTGAACATTTTATTCATTTATCCAACAAGTTTTTTACAGTAAACATGCTGATATTTTTGAATGAAGGGTGTATTTCTTGATTTTAAAATGATTAAAGGAAACACACACTATTTGCTATCTATAGTTATTTATTGAACATCAACGTTGAACAAATTAAATTAAAACACTCATTGCTTAAAACCAACAGTCACGTTTTTCTTATAAAAAAAGTGAAAATAAATAACTTGCACTTTTGGGAACACAATTAATTATTTTCATTGTTAAACTTTTAGTAGTAAAAGTAGAAAATAAGCAGTAAATAATATTTTAAACTGCGTTTCTTAAACCTTCTTTAAACAAATAGTTTAATGTAAATAATCATTTTATTGTAATGGAAAATATGCCGTCTCTGGAGCAGCTTCCAATTATCTTCAATGTTGTGCAAACTTTCAACTTGTTGTTACATTTTTGAGAGGTGCACGGATATGCGACCGCATGAAAGCTGCGCCTGACATACCTGTGCGTTCGACGCAAAAGTATAAAGTAACCTTAACAGAGCGGGGTCACAAGACTCCACATGCGGTGAGAAAAGTAATTGAAAAAATTGACCTGGAAAAATTAGATCGATTATAGGTTATGAATGTCGATTTCGATTACTTTTCGATTAATTGCCCAGCCCTAATGTCTATCTAACGTTGGATTTTGGTTGTCATACCTGACAAATAAATGGCAGTATTTGACATCAATATGACATTGGTTTAAGATGTTGGCTCGACGTTAGATTTTGTTCACCCCTAATATCAACATATTGTGATGTTACAGCTTGACGTTGTGTGGACGTAACCACTATGACGTCTATTAGCAATTTGGCCTAAAGTTAAAATCTCGATTAATTAAACATTTTAACTCTGTTACGATTAATGAACGATTATTATTTTTTAAATTTATTTAACAAGTTTTGTACAATAAATATGCTGATATTTTTGAATGAAGGGTGCATTACTTGATTTTAAAATAATTCAAATGAAACACACACTATCTGCCATCTATGGTTATTTATTGAACATCAGCGTTGAACGATTAAAGTTTCTGAATGTCGATTTCGATTAATTGCCCAGTCCTAACGTCTATCCAACATTGGATTTTGGTTGCCATACCTACTAACAAATGCCAGTATTCTACGTCAATATGACGTTGGTTTAAGATGTTGGATTTTGATCAACCAAATATCAACGTCGTTATTGGACGTCAAAATAACGTTGTCTTTAGATCCTTGCTAGAAATTGAATTTTGGTTAACTGACGTCACAACCTAAATTTAACCTAATATTATCATCTTATGATCTCGTGTGCCTGCTGGGTCCTTTTAAAAAAAAATTTAACTAACTTATTTTTTACTCATTATTTCTGAAAACAAAACAATATTTTTTACATCTTGATTTTAAGAATTTTTAGATATTTGGACTAGAATCATGAGGAAATCTCCAAGTAAGAAAATCATTTTTTTCAGTGTAGTTTAAGAATCTAATTAGGAACGTTATGCACACAAGTGAGCATCCAAGATCCTCTGGGGCTAGACAGGATCTCTAGCCTGTCAAATAATGCAACGCTCTTGATAGAAAACAACTCAGAGCACTTAAAATAACCATTTTATGCAAAACGAGTTCCTCAACATAAATAGAGCAGCAGCAAATCATAATTATATGCATCTAACTCACAAGTTTATTTTCTCATTTGTGTCTCTCGCATGTAAAAAGGGAGCACATAATGAGACCTATTACCCAGACGAAAGAGCTAAGGACTATAATGATCCACTTTGTTAAAAAAAAATGTAAAAGTATATATATATATATAGTACGTGGCCATCACAGAGCACAGTTTTCCTCCTATACTGTACATGAAGAACGGATTATGATATATTAAGTTCAAATGAACACTGTCTGATCACGTTGTACGCTAAGAAAACAATACTGAAGCCCAAAGCAAGGAGATATGTTCATGAGAATTAAGCGGATGTGCGCTTTCAAGTGCAATTCTGCTAAAGTATGTAGCTACTCTCTGGAAACGAAACAATCATTATTATAATCTATCCTTTCCGACGGCTCTACTGCAATGAACTATTACAATCTTTGTGTAGTGTCTTTGCATGCCAACCAGCGTAAAACTGTTTGAATTGTGCTACAATCAGGTGTGGTTATATTCTGTCATGTTATCGTCCTCCCAGACTTTATTTGCTGTACACATCAACAATGACAAATGTAGCTTTTTGAATGTTAGCTATAGTGCACGTAACTCTACATTGGTTTATACAGTAAATATATATTTATCTATATATATATATATTTGCTTTATCGTGAACCTATTTTGTTCCATCACCAAAGTCCTCTGTATTGTGCACTTCTTCTGGTTCTGTCCATTTTCTATTCACCAGTTCAAAAATAAATATTTTTCTATCTACACGTCGTATCACATTTATTATATGTCAAATCACAGTATACTGGATGGGAGAACATGAAACACTGCTGAAGAGGCGTCGCGGAAGTGCTAATGCCGACGTTTGCGGTCATGCTACAAGTGTTTGAGACCAGATCATCACATTCATAATGCCTCATAAGAACGGTTGTTTGGATTGACTGACTGCAGGTGACTCGACTGTGTTAAATTGGTGTAAACTTTGGTAAACGGTTACAATGTTGTGTTCTCATGGGAGGGTCTGGCAGCCAAAAGGGTTAAAGTAGCAGTTTGATTGACAGGGGTGATTAAAGTCAACATCCTAAACACAAAAACAGGAGCACGACACATCCCGGGTCGATATCCATACGCTAGGAAAAGAAAGACACATGCTGCGTGGAGCCTTATGTCTGTTTCATACATACTTCGTTCACAGTGCGTATGCAAAACGTATTTGGTCATTGTGCTTTCCCACAGGACACATTTACTCACTTATCCATTCAAGATGTACATTTCTTTCAGGGTTTTTCACTACATAGTGGACTTATAGGGTGCTCAGTGGTTTGAACTTCCAAATTGCAGTTTCATTGGAGCTTAAAATGACTTTATGAGATCCCAGCTGAGAAATAAGGGTCTTGTTTTGTGAAATTGGTCTTTTTCTTGTATTGACCAAAAAAATTTAAAAGCTTGCATTCTAGAACTTGTGCTAGATAAGTATTTGATGTTTAAAACTTAACATACACTCACCGCCACTTTATTAGGTACACTTTGGTAGTACCGGATCAGACCTCCTTTTTGCCTTCAGAACTGCCCTAATCCTTTTTGGCATAGATTCAACGAGGTACTCGACAATCCCTCGAGATTTTAGTCCATATTGACATGATAGCATCATGCAGTTGCTGCACATCCATGATGCAAATCTCCATTTTCACCAGATACCAAAGGTGCTCTATTGGATTGAGTTCTGATGACTGTGGAGGCCATTTGAGTACAGTGAACTCGTTATCATGTTTAAGAAACCAGTATGAGATTATTTACGCTTTATAGACATGGTCAGCAACAACACTCAGTTAGGCTCTGGCGTTGACATGGCGCTCTATTGATACTAATGAGCCCAAAGTGTGCCAAGAAAATATCCCCCCCAAACCATTAAGCAGGTCGCACACCAGAAGTGCCGCTCGGCGGCGCGCCGCGCAGCGCCACGCAGCACCACGCAGCGCCATGTATTTTAGAATTCTAAACATAGGTTTCTATCAGGATACACACACCGGCGCCGCAAGTCGGCGGCTGTCGGCGGCGCCCGGCGACGGCTCAGGACGCAGTTCATTTTTCAGCCGCGCCACAGAGCGCCATCTGATTAGTTTCATGTTAAATATCATTCGAATGTGCGCGTCTGGTGTGTGATACCTTAAACTGTCATGTACGCGCCGTGTCGCGGCGGCGCTTCTGGTGTGCGACCTGCTTTACACCACCACCACCAGCCTGAACCTTTGATGCAAAGCACAATATATCCATGCTTTCATGTTGTTGACGCCCAATTCTGACCCTACCATCTCTGAATGTCACATTTTGGTGAGCCTGTGCAAATTGTAGCCTCAGTTTCCTGTTCTTAGCTGACAGAAATGGTTTATGCGTGAAAATCCCAGTAGATCAGTAGTTTCTGAAATACTCAGACCAGCCTGCCTGGCACCAACAACCATACCACATTCAAAGTCACTTAAATGACTTTCCATTCCCATTCTGATGCTCGGTTTGAACTACAGCAGATCAGAGTTGCTGCCATGTGATTGGCTGATTAGAAACTTGTGTTAACGAGCAGTTGGACAGGTGTAACTAATAAAGTGGCCGGTGAATGTTTATATATAGGCTATTCATTTATTTATTCATTTTAGCTTAGTCCCACAGCGGAATGTACCGCCAACTTATCCAGCACGTTTTTACACAGCATATGCCCTTCCAGCTGCAACCCATCTCTGGGAAACATCCACACACACTTATTCACACTCATACACTGCGGACAATTTAACCTACCCAATTCACCTATACCGCATGTCTTTGGACTGTGGGGGAAACCGGAGCACCCGGAGGAAACCCATGCGAACCCAGGAAGAACATGCAAACTCTACACAGAAACGCCAACTAACCCAGCCAAGGCTCGAACCAGTGACCTTCTTGCTGTGAGGCAACAGCACCATATACTGCACCACTGCGTCGCCGTATATATTTGAAACTGCTGTTTCAAAGCGCATAGTTAATTAAGAAGAGTCTTTATATATATATAAAAAATTTATATATATATATATATATATATATATATATATATATATATATTTATATATATATATATATAAATAATTTATATATATATATATATATATATATATATAAAATTTATATATATATATATATATATATATATATATATATATATATATATATATATAAAGACTCTTATTAATTAACTATGCGCTTTGAAACAGCAGTTTGAATGTTCAAACCATTGAGTGCCTTAGAAAAAGATCTCAGAAACGTGACTTTTTTTTCGACAGAAGAAACAAAGCATCTTTGATGACAAGGGGCTGAGTAAATTATCAGCATTTTTTTTTTATTTTGGAAAAAGAACAAATCCTTTCATAAACGCATTTTAAAACGCACAATTGGCACCAACATTTGAGGACCCCACTATGCTTTTGACTTGTCATTCAAAACTTTGTTTCTTGAATGTCTCCCCTCTTTTAACCATATGTCCAATGATGTTGGAAATCGTAGCTGTTTGAATGTAGCATTCTTTGGGAATACTGTTTTTTTTTTTTCTTGACATTCAGTAACTGAGAACATAAACTTTGATTATGCATATATGCCTAAAGTAACAATTTTGCATCAGTCTGGTAATTTTGGCCACACAGCAAAAATCGATGTGGAAACTATTAAAGCACTGCTGCAGATGCACGACTCCTAGATTGCAACTGTGCGCAATGTGAAAGCTGAAACCTGTAAAGCTCAATTTATACTTCTGCGTTGAGTGTGCACACTCTGGTGTAGCATTAACATAGTTGCATACCCTTCCCCTTAAGTCCAATTTATACTTGTGTTTCAAGTGCATACGGTAGGTCTTGTGTAGCCTTTGCGGAGTCACATACTAGGGTTGTCAGGATACTGAAATTTGAAACCGATCGGTACTGAAAATTTAAAAACGCTAACATTTGAGCGCTGTTGAGCATTTTTTTAAACACCGCTGATTTGCCATTGTGTTCACGTGCTCAACAGAAATGACTGTGATTGGCCATGAAGGTCATTGTAACACCAAACTCACCGCTGTTTACTGCGTGTAACCTTAGTTACATGTTCGCCACGTCCTCCCTCTTCCCTGAATGAGTGTAAGTTTACTGTTATAGTAGCATCACACTGATTTGGGGCATAAACTTAAAACCCCGGCGAAGAAACACAACCCCACCTTCAACTATCAATGCAGTGTTTCAAAACTAGCAATGCTATTGGAGTGCAACCTAGACAGAACACAGAAGTATAAATGCTGTAACGTCGGCTACAGTGGACTTTAATGTTTAGGTTAACCTTGGATGAAGAAAAACGTACGCACTGCAGATGGAGGATGTGTGAAACAGGCATTTACAGACACCAGAAGGAATTATGAACAAGTTCAATGGGTAAGGAGGACGGCTAAAGGAGAAGGCGGTTATTTTTCCTGTGCCGTTCAAGGCAGCAGAAGGGTTCAGTTACGTAGGTTAGCGGCCCACGCTGATGTTGCAGGTCTTGCAGCTGGGATCTTTCTTGGCGTTGACTGTGGAGAGGCTCATGAGCTGGTGGCCGCTAATTTCGGCTACCGTGCCCAGGCTCAGATCCACAGGGTCGGTGTAGATGACCTCCAGGATAAGGTCCTGTGCATGGTGGAACACCAGCTGGCCGTCTTCATCCTCCGAGCACGTCATAAAGCGGTTGTTGGCGATATCCAGTGCTGGTAGACGCTGCTTGCAGAAGTCGTCTCCGGGCGAACCCTGCGGCGCGATCACCAATATAACGTAATGATAGGCCGTGTACATGCAGTAGAAGTCACCGAAATACAGGTTTGTCTTGGGGCTGAAGAGCGCCTCTGCTGGCAGCTGGTAGCGGTATCGACCGTACGGTGAGTCCTGTGGGGGTTTGCCCGTGTTGAACTCGGTGTTGCAGCTAAAGAAGATGCCCTCCAGCTTCCCGCTGATGGGGGAACCGTGGCTGCCACTGTTGTCCTTCACTGATGGCAACATCTTGTTGTTTTGGGCCTCCCTGCAATGAGAAACGTCACTGTAAGTGATGAATGACTGCATAGAGGTGACATTCAGAGGTACAGTGAACACAGTTTCACCATAGAGACAGGCAGACACAGAAAGACCTGGCTAAAAGATCCAATACTGGCTCATCGGAAATATGTGCTTCAGCCTTCGTTTGTAACTTGTTTTTGACTGCAGAATTACTGTAGGTAAAATGATCGTTACTGGGCAGTATGACAGCAACAACTTTGGTTCCTTTTCACACTAATGATATTAACGAGACATATATATTATCAGTTAATAAAGGATTATTTTTGTGCAGTTTATTGCACAACACCAAATAATAAGTACCAAGAAACAACTTAATTATCTTTGTAAATTGTAATGTTTACATTTTGCTGTCTATATCCAGACAACTTTTCTGATGTGGTCAGTTTGCTCAATAGTTCACTCTGAACTGAATTATACTTGTGATGAAGATTCAAAACTTGGGGTTCGAGTGTGTTGAAGTACAGTTCCACAAAACCGATAAAATTAATGTAAAATCAAGGTAAAGCTTTGTGGCCGCAATGCACTATTCTCTTACATTTGCTTGTGAAAGAACTTTTGGATTTGGTTTAGGAAAGTGTTCAGGTCATGGGTTCATTTATAGGTGATCTCTTTAACCATGCCCACCTTCTCATGGATATGAAATGTACAACAAAACGTGCCCCAAATAACATTTTAGATTCACACACACACACACACACACACACACACACACACACACACACACACACACACAAAATAAAAAAATAGACAGTGCCCTCTAGTGGATTTGTGATTTTGAAATGTGCAGTGAAACATACCAAGAGCAATGTATTTTATTTATTAGACTGAGGCAAGTATTTCTGTCACCATCACCAGTGATCTAACCTATGTAGATCACTGGAGAACTACACAAATGCCACTTTAATGAACTACAACTACCATCATGCACCTCACACACCAGTTCCTTATTCCCACTGATTACACACACACAGCTGTAAGCTCATGATGGACTAATTGCTAGGACTATAAAACACCTCATTCACACACTCTTGGCTGAGTCTTGTTTACCTGAAAAATTGCGTTATCCTGGTCTATTCTTGACGTGCCTTTTGATTCTTGCCTTGTTTCTTGTTTATACTGTGACCACGACTATTTTTGGATCTACTCTTCATAATACCATTTGTTTCAGTTTGACTACTGACTTAACTGTAAATAAACTCCAACTATGTTACAATTTCCATTGAGCCTGAGCTAAAAAAGATCAGTTGTGCTCCCTCTGCATTAAGAAGGACTTTCTAGCATCTTAGCCTTGATTATCCACAAATTCTTGACCCATTTCTCAAAACATCATAAATACTTTCATTAGTAACCAAATATGGTTTTATACAAATGTATTGGTAACACTTTACAATAAGGTTGTATTACTTGCTGTATTTACTAACATGAATAAACAATGAACAATAGATTTATTACACAGTTTGTTGATTGTTAGTTCATGTTAACTTACAGTTCATTAACTAATGTTAACAAGCATGAATTTGGATATTAATATAGCATTGGTAAATGTTGAGCTATGATAAATAAATTATGTACACATTGTTCATATGAGTTCATGTTAGTAAATACATTAATAATGAAACCTTATTATAAAGTGACCAATGTATTTGTAGTCAGGGAACACATCACAAAAGTGCTGTCCAACATTGTTCCTGTAGGCACCAACATATTATTTGAACTAATTAAAGTAATTCCTAATTAAACACAGATGAGTAAACTCAGCCGCTCATTAGTAAAGAATCCAAGGGGGATCTCTGCATTTTGGCTGTTCATTTACAACAGTGTTTTGAGTGCCTGAAAACAAAGTTTTGAAATGTTTTTGAAAATATTGTTTAATATGCAAAAACATTTTTTTATATTTAGGTGATGTGTATGCATATTTTTATTTTAAGAGCATTAGATTGACAAACTACAAGTGGTCTTGAGCGTTCACTTCAATAACTGACTTTGTACATTTCAGTTAAAAATGTCGCATTAAATTTAGTGGAAGTTTAAGGTGCAGTATGCAAGTTTGACATCCAGTGATTAAATTAGATATTACATCCCTCAAAACAATCGCAAGCTCAGGTTGCCAGATTGACAACCAACAGCAGCAAGTCTGACGATCAAGCCTAAAGGCTGATTTAAATCGTGTTCTAAATAAAACATACGGCTATTTTTTATATTAAAAGGAGATTTTGTTCTAACAAACACCTGAAATACATATTAAACTGCTTTTATTTCTTGAAGCTGAACAAAAGGATAAACTGACAGTGTTTATCTCAGGTACAGCTGAGGTAAATGGGCTTTATTCAGTGTTAAATGCTAACAATGTAAGTTTTAATGCTATTTTACTGGACATTTATTGCCATTCTACTGAAATAAACCGCTTGAAATTGAACTTTAGGACTGTGACTCAGTGCAAGCCAACACATATCAATAATCAACCATGTACATTTAATAATGTTAAAGAGGTTTAATATGTATTAATTAGATTTTAAACCCTTTTGTTGGTTTTTCTGTGCTTCTGAATGGCTGTATTTAAATTTCTGTCATGTTTTGTCTTATCAAGCAGCCAAATTGCTTATCACTGCGTATCTAGTCACACAGTGTGTTTTTAAAACTCAGGGTTACACTGTAGCCTGCTCACTTAATGTTTACGTTCGTAATATTCATGTGAAAACTCATGTGAAACTGCAGCTCATTTCGGAGTTTACTACTATCCACCAGAGATCGCATTTCCATCATAGACAAATGCTTTGTTGTTGGTGTGTCCTAGAACAGCGTATAACTCCAGTATTACAGCTAATTCTTTCAAATGGACACTGGTATTGGTAAAAAATCTTTACCAATTAGCATTGTCATGATGCTTTTTATCCATTTTGGAGCTCAGTTTCTTTATATAAATATATATATATATATATATATATATATATATATATATATATATATATATATATATATATATATATATATATATATGTGTGTGTGTGTGTGTGTGTGTGTGTGTGTGTGTGTGTGTGTGTATACTGAATGAACAGCCAACTATTCCACGATATGTTTTATGCGGTGGATGCCCTTCCAGCTGCAACTCAGTACTGGGAAACAACCATTTACATACACTACACACACATCTGCTACAGCCAATTTAGTTTATCCAATTTACCTATATGTCTTTGGACTGTGGGGGAAACCGGAGCACCCAGAGGAAACCCATGCCAACTCAGTAAGAACATGCAAACTTCGCACAGAAATGCCAACTGGCCCAGCCAGGACTCGAACCAGCAACCTTTTTGCTGTGAGGTGACAGTGCTAACCACTGAGCCACCGTGTCACCCAAATTAGTGTTTGTATAGTACATAAGTAAACAAGTTCAACCTCAATGACTTATATATTTTAAAAATGTTAAGAAGCCAGTGTGGAATGAATCTTTGAGTTGTGCGTGTAAAAGTACAGCACCAATAGACCTTCACTCACTGAAGTGAAAGCAGATTCAATGACTTCTATTGAATCAAAGCAATAAATACTAAAGTAAGATGAAGTAATACATTCATATGTACTCGGGTGATATTAAAAGATAAAAAAAAGATGATTTCCGAAGGGGAATGAATGAATGTCCTTCCTTTTACTACCTCAGACTGCAATGAGCCTTTCAGACGGATTTAATTTGATTCCTCTTTGCCTCCTACATCTGAAATCGCATACGCTTTATTCGTGGAAAAGCTCATTAAAGAATTATTATATCACCTTAAATGCATTAAATTCAACAGAAATAGGCTTTTGAGCCATAAAGACGTATGATTTAATGGCTGTTTTCATCAAATTGCACTGATGCTATTACCAGATAGAATTACGTTAAAACAGAATTGCTGGATTTATGTGAAATTTCATTCAGAGATACAAAGGAAGATGATTCGCATGAAGAGAAACTACTGCAAACATTTTAATAAAACCCCTCAGCATTTTTGAGGCTTTCTCAAATGAAAACAAATATTTATATGATATGGAAATTTATTTACTCCCTCTCATGTTGTTCTAAGTCTGCGTGACATTCTTTCGTGGAAAACAATTATTCATATTCATCAAATATCTATTTTTTTTGGTAATTATTAAAGTAAATAAACACGAGTCTGATACTATAGGTGTCTCACTCTCATAAACCAACTTCACTAATATTATGGCCATCATATATTTTAGAATTGAACCTTTTGTGTTTCACAAAAGAAAAATAGTCTTTTAGTTTTTCTTTATTTATTTACACTAACCGGCCACTTTATTAGGTACACCTTACTTGCATCGGGTTGGACTCCCTTTTGAACACAGAAGTGCTTTAATCCTTCGTGGCGTTGATTTAACAAGGTATTGGAAATATTCCTCAGAGATTTTAGTCCATATTGACATAATACCATCATGTAGTTACAGCAAATTTGTCGGCTGCACATCCATGATGCGAATCTCCTGTTCCACATCATCCCAAAGGCATACCTGCCAACACTCCAGACTTTTTACTGGAAGTCTCTCGTATTTCAGATCCATCTCCCGCCACCCTCCCGTTTTATTATTTTTTCGGGAAAACTCCCATAGTTTAAATTTTCTCTTTTTCGGACCATTCTCTGTAAACTTTAGAGATGATTGTGCGTGAAAATCCCAGTAGATCAGCAGTTTCTGAAATACTCAGACCAGCCCATATGGCACCAACAACCATGCCACGTTCAGTCATTTAAATCTCCTTTTGTTCCCATTCTGATGCTTGGTTTGAACTGCAGTAGATTGTCTTAACCATGTCTACATGCCTGAATGCATTGAGTTGCTGCCATGTGATTGGCTGATTAGAAATTTGCGTTAACAAACAGTTGGACAGGTGTACCTAATAAAGTGGCTGGTATGTGTTTAATATTATTATTATTATTTCTTTGATCATTTGATGTTGTCGCCCGTGTGGAATCACTCACCTTGCATGGTCGAAGTACTCTTTGTGTTGGTTTCGATAAAAGACGGAGAATCGCAGCATTCTGCCGGCGATCACCTCTGCTTTCTCCATCAACTGTGTGAGATGAACAGTGGAATAATCTGCACGTACAAAAGAAGGAAAAAGAAAGATGTATTGGATATTGTCAGCATAAACCAACAGGCACATCATCAGTACTTAAAACAACTAATTATATTTGGAGTGTCTTCTAATGTTCTGACGAGTTGATTCAGGTGTGTTTAATTAGGAAGAGGTTGAAAACGTGTACTGTTGGTGTGCCTTTAGGAACAGGGTAGGCAAACTCTGATCTAATGTATCTAATTATCACATTTTGGGAAACCTTGTTTTGAAGTACCGTGAACATGCACCTCACCTGCTGTGCAGAATTCATTGATCTCGCTCCATTCGGACACAGCGTAGTCTCCATCGCCCTGTTTGGAGGCAGTCTGAACAGCAACTGTGTACTCAGTGCGTGGACTCAGAAACCAGTGTCCTCTAACTGTCATAGGCAGAGGAACGGCTTTTGCTACCAGTTTAGTAGGGACATCCTAGAGGAGACATATTAAATGATAATAACACATAAAATGGCAGTGCATCAGGTTTTGCTCCATATAGAAAAACTTTAGGTAACACTTTATTTTGATGATCCATTTGAGTATTAGTAGTCTGCTTGACATCTGCTGATACTGCTCCTTTATCAGATATTTAACTGACTAAGAAACTTTTGCAAGTACATGTCAACACTAACCCCAACCCTAATTTAACAGTCTGATTGTATTCTAATGAGAATTAGTTGGCATGTAGATGCAATGCAACTTAAATTCAACAAAGGGACCATCAAAATAAAGAGTGACCAAATTTTACATTGCATTATATTCAAATTACATGTGATACAACTTCAAATTTGGATTTAAGTTATAAAATATGCCATATATGCAACATGTATATTTATTACATTAACTATTACTGTATGTACATACAGTTAAAGTCAAAATTATTAGCCATTCTGTGAATTGTTCTTTTCTTTTTAAATTATTTCCCAAATTATGTTTCACAGAGCAAGGAATGTTTTACAGTATTTCCTATAATATTTTTTCTTCTGGAGAAAGTCTTATTTGTTTTTTTTATTTATTCTTATTTCGGCTAGAATAAAAGTTGTTTTTAAAATTTTAAACCATTTTAAGGTCAAAATTATTAGCCCCCTTAAGCAATAATCTTTTGATTGTCTACAGAACGAATCATCGTTCAATAAACAATTATTTGCCTAAATACCCTAACCTGCCCATAATTAGGCCTTTAAATATCACTTTAAGCAGAATACTAGTATCTATCCATTATTAGAAATGAGTTATTAACTATTATGTTTAGAAATGTGTTGACAATCTTCTTTCTGTTAAACAGAAAATGGGGAAAAATATACAAGGGGGCTAATAATTCTGACTTTAATTGTATTCAACTACAGTAGATAAAACTTTGTTCACATGGCCATGTTTGAACTTATATGAACATATCAATAATTACATCAAACATATTTGAACATATACAATTGAAGTCAGAATTATTATCCCCCTGTTTATTTTTCCCCAATTTCTGTTTAACACAGAGAAACTTTTTTCAACACATTTCTAAACATAATAGTTTTAATAAATCATTTCTGATAACTGATTTATTTTATCTTTGCCACGATGACTAAGTAATATTTGACTACATAGTTTTCAAGACACTTCATACAGCTTAAAGAGAAATTTTAAGCAATTTCACAGTTGTTATTCAGCGGTTACTGCTTTGGCCTCCCCACAACCTATTACCAGACCCTTAAATTGACAGGGCCCTTTGCATTGGCACTACACCACTACCCCCCCACCCCCCCACGCCCCCACAGGCATCTGTAAACAGCATGTGTAGCCTTAGGATTTATTATTATCTGGGGTTTATTATTATCATTATTACTAAAATATATTTTTTATCTGTAAATGTGTAAACAAAAAATTAAAGATAACTGTGTGGGTTATACTGTGCGTTGTTAATTGCAAAACCCCTCTATTTAAAAAAAAAAAAGAGAAAAAAAAACATTTAGAAAAGGATCAAGTCTCAGCCAGGTATTAAAAATTATTGCAAAAGTAACATAACTCATTACTTACCTTAAAAAGTAACGGGGTAAAGCAACAAGTTACTTTTCTAGGGAGTAACTCAATATTGTTATGCATTACTTTCAAAAGTAACTTTCGAAACATTGTTTATAGGCCGTTTTCCCAGTATTTTGTTGAATAGATGTTAAATATATAATGCTTATTTGATATATGTCAAATCCAAATATGAACTTATATCTCAAATATGCATGTCATTTGCAAATATTGCCATATATCCCTTCCATAGTCTCTTCCAGCTCTTGCCAAGACTGTTCTGGAGTATTAGAGCCCACTCGGCTAGACAGATCAACAGTTTATTTCCACAAGCTGTTAGAGCCCTCAACTTCAATCATCTTACCACCCTCTGAAATATTACCAACAGTCCCAGCTCCCAGATCCAAAACCCCCTCTTCTCTCCCCCCATCACCACACCACATGAAAACCTCAAAACATTATGCAACTCTGAGTGGGCTTGACAAACCACCTGTAGAAAACACTCTTTCCTCTCTCTGGCACTTTAACAGACATTTGCACCTGACACTCACTCCATATCTATAAAATATATTAACATTGTGCATTTAAGAATGTGCCTCACACAGGTGAGTGGGCTTGACAAACCACCTGTAGAAACAGTCTTCTCTATAAAAACACCCCCTCCCTTAACTCTAGCACTTAATTCTCTGAGCACTAACAGTTCCTTTGTATAATTAGCAGTTGTTGTGTGTATTGCCTCTTGCTGACTCACTGAATGACTTCTCAACTGTACAAAAGCTGCTAAATGACTAAATGTATATCAGATTTCTATGTGGGTCTTACAACAGAACAGATTAGGCTCGTAAAAAGGCTTCTGTGATCATTCACCTTGTGTTTGAACTTGTTGGCGTTCTTGTTTTCCTTCTTGTTGAGGTCGATGAAATAGTGCGTGATGCGTTCCTTAGACCTGGAGTCCATATCCCAGCAGATCTTGAAGGAGTCGCATGTGATGTTGCTGATTTTGATGTTCTGGGGAACCGGAAGTTCCTCCATCTCGGCAATCCCACTGTCAAGGGACTTATTTCCTGAGACACGGTGAGACAGATGGAGAGAGAACAGAAAATAGTGAGGATATGTTCAAGGAGGATGCTATTTCCTATATTAAGTTCTGTGTGGAATCCAAATGTAGTATATTTGTTTTGCTAGTGCATTTTGTTAGCCTTTAGGTGAAAAATTAACCTGTGCAATTTATTTCACTAAAAACAGTTTGTTTTGCTAATTAAATTCAAAGTTTGACTATTTACTTATGTATTTAGAGTGGCTGGTCCTTCTCTGCTGATGCCAGTTTGACAGTCCTTTACTACTATCAGCCAGTAGCTAGCTCTCTGCAACTCTTAAGGCGTACTCACACTATGCTATCCGAACCGTGCCCAGGCCCGTTTCCCGCATCGTTTGAGAAGTGTGAGTGTGCAGGCATGGTTTACTTGGCCAGCCCTGGCGTGGTTGAAAGAGGTGGGCCTGATCGCGGTTCACTGGGACAAAACGCGCCAAAGCTCAAAACTGAAAGCGAGACTGACTTTTAAGGGACTGTTTCATATGGATTTATTAATTATTCTTACTGTTTAGTGAATGCAAACTGCAAACCCCTCACTGCACGACAGCTGCGTACCTTCAGCAAACCTCCTCATTCCTGCAGCACGACGGCTTTATGATTGTTTATGAGCGCCAAAAGTGGCGGATCTGTTCGGTGAAATATATGACTGCGTGTCACTGCATTCCTACTGTTTGGAGAGCGCTTACTAAACAGCGCAGCATTAATGACGTAAGCATGCCCAGGCCCGATTGTAATGTGAGTGCGGGTCGTCGGGGGAGACAGGAGTGGGGACAAGCGTGCTTTGGCCTGGTTCGAGGCAAATGTACATAGTGTGAGTACGGCCTTACATAGCCAAGCAGGGCTGCGCCAGGTCAGTACCTGGATGGTAGACCACATGGAAAAGCTAGGTTGCTGCCATAAAAGGTGTTAGTGAGGTCAGCACAGGGTGCTCAACCTGTGATCTGTGTGGGTCCTAACGCCCCAATACAATGATGGGGACTCTATTCTGCTTAGTGAACGCCGTCTTTCAGATAAGAAGTTAAACTGAGGTCCTGACACTCTGTGGTAATTAAAAATCCCAGGATATCCTTTAAAAACAAGTAACAGTTAAACCCTGGCAACTTAATAGACAATTGCCTTTAAATAACCCTAAAGATAAAAGTCTAAGGGAGTCAGATTGGGAGACCTTGGGGGCCATTCAACTGGCCCACGACGACCGATCCACTTTTCAGGAAACTGTTCATTTAGGAATGCTCGGACCTGACACCCATAATGTGGTGGTGCACCATCTAGCTGCAAAAACTCAGGGAACGTGCCAGCTTCAGTGCATAAAGAGTGAAACACATCATCATGTAGCAATTTAAAATAGCCAGTGGCCTTGAGGTTTCCATTGATGAAGAATGGCCCCACTATCTTTGTTGTCTATGGTGTGAAGATACAAGATGTGCAGCACCTGAAACTACGAATACTGGAAGCCTGTGCTGGCATTTCTTCTGCGGTGTTGCTATCAGTGTGTGAAGAGTTGGTGCAGATGGTTGCATTGACAATCCAACACAATGGGCAGCACATTGAACACATTTTATAAGTGGTCAGAAACTGGTAAATAACTCATGAAAGAATAGTTATGTTAAAACCAAGCACACCATTTTTCTTGTGAAATTCTCAATAAGTTTGTGTCAAAAGACCCTCTTCTTATTGAAGAAACAAAAGTTGGATCCAAGATGGCCGACTTCAAAATGGCCACCATGGTCACCACCTTGAAAAGTTTGCCCCCTCACATATACTATTGTGCCACAAACAGGACGTTAATATCACCAACCATTCCCATTTTAATAAGGTGTACCCATATAAATGGCCCACCCTGTATTTATATGAACTGAATTTACGCAAAAAAATACAATTCAGTAATGTTCAACCTAATTTGTTTGTTTAAATTCAGCAAATTGTAAATTGTTTGCAACCACTTACCTTAAAAAAAAATCAGTAAATCTGATTAATAATTTTTTCAGTGTAATTTCAGCAAAAAATCATATCAAATCTAATAAAAATCATCAAATGCACTAAAGTGAAATGTATCTTTCATCTTGAATGGCCCATAATAGGAGTAAATTAACACAAAATTTTCATTTAATGAAGAGTAAAGGTCAAAACCGATGACGATGAGATGTTATCGTTCATTCTCTAACCTTTATCCAGGTCAACACTGAGCCTGACCGCATAGTACAAATAGCAAACACTGCCACTATTGACTTGCAGGATGTGCCCCAGGGCAAAGCAGCGCAGCGTTTGGTTTAGTTTCAGACAGTTGGTTGATTCATTCATGATGCGTGTCAATGGAAGTGCAACTGGAGTTTAATTCAGTCGGTGCAGACCGATTCTACTAGACTCCTATGTGTAATTTTTATGTGGGTTTCCTCCAGGTGCTCCGGTTTCCTACACAGTCTAAAGACATGCTCTAGGTGAACTGGGTGAGCTAGTTTAGCCGTAGTGTATGAGTGTGAGTGTAAATGAGTGTGACTGAAAGGGCATCCCCTGCTTGAATCACATGCCAGAATAGTTGGCGGTACATTCTTCTGTGGCAACCCCTGATAAAAATGGGACTAAGCCGAAAGAAAACTCTGCTAAATACTGTAAACACTCAACTTTTGCTTTTGCTATTTTCAATTTCAGTCTAGGGTTGTTTACTTGTGTTTCACTGTCTGTCATGTACAAACTGAACATCTGATCACTGATGCTTAGACCCGAAGATTAGGTCAAGAGCCTCGCTAATCAGTAATGGCTCATGCTTTTGTTTGTGTTTTGATTTGTTTGCTGCTTGACTGGGTTTGCAATTCTTCAGTTGATTTGTGCTTGTAAATTTAGTCGACTTGCCGCCAACAAATTGCAATCATCATTTCTCGTGTCGCGTTTTATAATGTAATCAGCAGCCGACACAATCAAGCCCATACCTCAAAGCATTTCCCTTTCTGCTCTGAGATAAATCAGAAGAAAACACAGTCATCACTGCGACCTGCTGAAGGTCAAAGCAGGCTTAATGAAAAACAAGCATGACAACAGCAAATTCAGCACAAAGCATATTTAGTCCAGACAGAGGGAAAATCACTAACAATCTGTCATGACGAATGTTAGTTTCTGTATATTAAAAAGTACGTATTATATTATCTTAAAGTAATATTAAATCTACCTACACTGTAAAAAGTGCTTATATACGTTACTTTTTAAAAAGTGAGTAAACCTGTTGCCTTATGGTGCGTTTACACCAGCCACTGATGAAGCTGATTTACATGTTAAATCAATGCAAAGACCTGAATAGACATCCTGCTGCACTATTCGCATGAATGAGGTGTCTCGAGTTTTGAGACAACTGGATCGCTTGAGTTGGATAATCTGAACTTTAGCGGACATTCGGACCATTTTAACCAATCAGGAGCTTTCTCTTGTGGGGGCATGATTATGACGTGTCGCCTGCTGTTGGTGTCCCGAGGGGAAATCCTCCTTTCGACACAGAGCAACAGCTCATCGAACTGGGCTCGGCTCAGTCGGAAGTCCCACTGAAAGCTTCCATCATCCAGGTATAGTTTCTGAAGGAGCTGATGAACTCCGAGAGATGGTTGCACCTCTGAAAGGATCTAGTGGACTCAGACACGGCGCCAAACAAATCTATGCTGTTTTTCAGCCTTCCAAAAGCACATAAAGCACAGCTACTCTCAATAAAATCCATGTTAGACATTTAGCAATGAAGCTAGAGTCACCGGGCAGACAGAAGCCTTGCCCATGATGCGAATCTGCAAATCTTTCGTGAAGTAAATTTGACGGGAGAATTAGGCGAATTTGATGCACGAATGAAGTATACTCAAAATGTTCACGCATCTAGTATGAACACAGCATTAAAAGTGACAAGTTGACTTTACTTAAAAAAAGAGGAAACCCATTATAACTTGGTACCGTTAAGTTGATTTAAATTATTTTTTAAATCATACACCATTCTTTTCCCTAAAAATTTGGTTAATGGATTTACTTAATTTAAGTAGTCAACTAATTGATTTAAAAGCAACAGTTTAAGTAAAGCCAATTAATTATTTTTACAGACTATCTGTCTGTCTGTCTGTCTGTCTGTCTGTTTGTCTGTCTGTCTTAACAGCAGTGGCACTGGTATCTCAATATTTCTTTACATTTTACAATAACACAACAGTGGAACTGTTCGTTCGCTAGTTAGTTTGTAAGTTAGTTTGTTCGTTAGTTCATTAGTTAGTTACTTTGTTACTTAATTTGTTAGTTTGTTATTTAGTTCATTAGTTAGTTAGTCTGTTAGTTAGTTCGTTGATAATGTATTTTACAAAAAAACAAAAGTACAAGTATTGTAAGCATCGATTAAAATGAGTCTTGAGAGATTCCCCTCTAAATTTATTGATTTTTAATTGTTTAAACCTGAAACTGACAATTAAACTGTACAACATATATTATCATAATACATTTGTTTAATCGATTGGCACAGAACATTTTTGAATCAGAACATTGAATGAAATATCAAATAAATACTTTGAGTCCCACAATTTAGTGTTGCATGACACATTTAAAACCATTAGAGATATACAAATATACAAAGCAATTATTTCATTGAATTAAAAATAATTTTTTTAATTAGATAAATGATAAATGTGTCCCACACTTTGCATGCAATCTTGCTATACAAAATATTTTCTTCTCAATGTTGATAGTATTCAGCCAAGGTCAACCCTGTCACTCTCAACAACAAAAATATCTATTGTACACTTAAAAAACAAGCAAAATAGATTTAAATTGTGTAAATGAATGGCTAAAAGGATATTTGATGTTTTTTTTTACATGAAAATGGTGTCAAATTCCCTGTTAAGTATGAAGTCGGTAGCAAATCAAGCTAAAAATATTTATTACAAAATAAAATAAGACAGAGGATAAAACCAGGTCAAAATTACTCAAACTTAACAATTGCAGGTTACCACTTTTACAACA